CCCTCGAGCTCCCGGCCGCCTTCCCGGGGCCAGCGCCTCATCTGGCTGCGGGTTCGGCCCGTCGCCCCTCGGAGCCGGAGGCCTCCCCAGCCCCCCACCTTCAGAGGGGACCCTGCCCCACAGTGGCCTTGGCTCCGGCCCGCGACCCAACCTTCACGGGAGAATCCCCGCCCAGGTTCATCCAGGCAGCGCCAGTCCACAGGCACCCCCTGAACTCCCTTTCTCTCTTCAGCGTGGTCCCGCAGATCTTCCTGACAGACAGGGTCTCGCTAAACCGCCCAGCCTGCGATCCTCCGGCCTCATCCTCTCACGTGCGAGGATCGCCAACGTGTACCACAGTGCCCAGCTTCCAGCGACGCTTAACTCAGCCCTCGACCCGTCATGAGTTCCATCCACTCCTGATCCTACCCCGCTTGTTTCGTTTTTGAGATGGGATCGCGCTGTAGAGCCCAGGCTGACCTTGAACTCTTGGGCACCAGCGACCTCCCCGCCTCCATCTCCCAAGTGGCTAAATAACTTAAAACTACAAGTCACGATGTTTAAACCCTTCTTGGGGAAGATCCACCGCAACAGCCCCTAAGGTCCTTGGGGCTCCGATGGACAGACTCCGCCCCAAGATCAGGCCTCGACCTCGCCTCTTGGCGATTTCTCCCTAGCCTCTCCAGGCTCCGCTACTTGACTAACCTCTGTCTCCCTTTCCTTTCAGACCTTCCCACTCTGCAAGGCCTCTCTTTCCTCTACGGACCCCCAGAGGTTCCCCCTTCACTCGAAGAGGTCCTACTCTTGCTCCAGGCCTGGCTCTTCCCTCTGCGGCGTCCCATCCCTGGGTCTCATCCTCTCAGGAGATACTTCCCTCCAGGTGACCGCCTCGAGGTCTCGACCCAATCCGGGAGAAACTTTCCTCCAGGCACCACCCCTTTTGAGGCGTGGCCTCCACCCAGGCCCGCCCAGGGGGCGGGGAAAGCCGCTGGGCGTGGCCGACCAGGTCCCCGCCCACCAGGGGGACAC